CGGCTCTTTGGCCCCTTGAGTGTGGCTCTTCCTAAGCCTTAGGAGTACCCTAATTAAGTGAATAACAATGTACCTACCTATATGGTTTAAGTTTAAAAAATGTGGCTCTCAAAAGAAATTTCAATCGTTGTACTGTTGATATTTGGCTCTGTTGACTAATGAGTTTGCCGACCACTGCTCTAGGCGGTCCCCTCATGGGCCCTGCTCCCTCCTACCTCCAGCCCTTTACCTCTGCACTTCCCTTTTGCCTGAAGTCTCCTCTTGTTCTCAACTCCTCCCCACTCTTCAAGGCTCCAACTTCACTTCTTGTGACTCCCAGACTGGACTAGGTCTCAGCTGGGGGCTCCCACTGCACCCCAACTCCCCGATACCGAGTCTGTTCTTCTCTGGGGGTATTAGAGCATTGGCTGTTGCCCTCGCTGACCGTGACCTCACCGAGGACCAGGGCTATGCCTGGGTCTCCGTGTCCTGGCCGCCAACTGTTGATGGACCAAAAGAGTGCCCACAACCTGGGAGGCAGGGACCTGGCATGACGTTCATTGTACGGATGAGACATTGAGGCTCAGAGGCCTGAGCTTGCAAAGATCACTCAGCTAGTTCGGAAGGAGCAGGGTCGCTGGGCTGGGTGCTGGGAACGTTGGGGGCAGACGGCGCGTGGTGTCTGTTCGCAGCGCGCGTGCAGTCATGCAGGCGGCGAGTCGCAGTGGGGCTCACGTGGGCGGCCTGTGTCTGGCACGAACTGTTAAACCACGGCCGCCGCAGACACTCACGCTTCTGTCTTGAGGTTACAGGGTTACTGCCTCCCGGGTCACGAAAGGCTCACGGCTGCTCGCTGAGAAGGCCTGGGGGTGCTGGGTGCGAGCGAGACTCCAGCCATAGGTCTGTTTCTCAGAAGGGCTTCCTTCCAGGTTGAGATTTCTTTAAAAAAAAAAAAAAGTTTTTTAAAAAATTGATTTCAGAGAGGGAGAGATAGAAACATCAATGATGAGAGAGAATCATCGATCGGCTGCCTCCTGCACGCCCCACACTGGGGATCGAGCCTGGAACCTGGGCATGTGCCCCCGACTGGAATTGAACCTAGGACCCTTCAGTCCGCAGGCCTACGCTCTATTCACTGAGTCAGACCAGCAAGGGCAGGTTGAGATTTCAAAGTCTGTTAACGGAAGCTCTTCAGCCCCTTTCTGACTGCAGTGAAGGTCGCCACTGAGGCTCCTGGCTGTTCTCTGTCCCACGAAGGGTCACCATGGGAGGCAGGGACCTGTGAGCTCCACCAGGGTCTGACCATCGCGAGGCCTCGAGGCTCCTGGCAGAGACTGAGTACGTGGGCCCAGGACAGACTGAGGGATGCCTGCGGCCTGTGTGGGGACCCACAGGGACAGACAGCGGGGCTGAACTGCATCTTTTTTTTTTTTTTTTTAATATATATTTTATTGATTTTTTACAGAGAGGAGGGAGAGGGATAGAGAGTTAGAAACATCGATGAGAGAGAAACATCGATCAGCCGCCTCCTGCACACCCCCCACTGGGGACATGCCCGCAACCAAGGTACATGCCCTTGACTGGAATCGAACCTGGGACCCTTTGGTCCGCAGGCCGACGCTCTATCCACTGAGCCAAACCGGTCAGGCTGAACTGCATCCTGAACAGGTCTAGGCCTAGGGGCCATTAGGTCACTGAATCTTCTGTGGGAGGTAGGACCAAGCTGTGATGATGCCAACACCCCATCTGCCACACCTGCAGGCCACGGGGACCCAGCCTCTGGCCCTCACCCCTGCCTGGGGGGGGGCACCTCCTCTCCTGGGGGTTCTACCTTCTTGTCCTGTCCTCTCTGCAGTGACCGGGAGGACAGGGGCCCACTCCCTGGGAGTTTGTCCCCTCCCTCCTTCCTCTCCTGCCAACAGAGAGCACGGGTCTCGCAGAGGAAAGCTGTTGTGGGCTGGGAAGAGCAGGAAAATGAGGGCTTTCTAAAGGCTAACTTTATCCTAGCAACTGTGGTGCTGCCCTGCCCAGATGCAGAAATGGAATCCTTGCCTCACAGCAACCAAGGGCTGAGCCCATGGCCTGGAGCCCCTAGCGGGGCCGGCTCAGCGAGTGGGTCTCCGAGGACATCCCCCTAGCCGGCCTCTCTGAACCCTGTGAGGCCACACGGAGGCCGTGGCTGCTGCACGGAGGAGCAGTGGCGGCTGCACCATCTAGTGGATTCCACCCTGGCCTCCATGGAGGGCCCCCAGGAGCCTGGGGCTCGGTGTACCCCATGGCTGCTGCTTAGAGCTGGAGAGTCCGGGCTGGGACTCGGGGAGCCTCCCAAAGACAGGGCAGCCTCTGAGCAGCTCCCAGCTGTGGGAGGAGAAGCAGCAGTTTCTTAAGAGCAAGGGGACCTGGACCACAGCCCCCGCTTCCTCTTCTGGGGAAAAACCGCAGCTCAGCTGGGCTGGAGAATTCTGAAGCTTGCCCCAGGGGCCTACAGTGCTGAGCAGGGGGCCCCTGGGGCTCTGGATGGGAAAATGGGGGTGGGAGAGGAGGTTGGCTTGGATTCCTTATATTGTCCAAACTGAGGGCTTCCGCGAATGAAAAGGCCCTGCCTTAACTATTACACCAGGGCGGCAGATGTAAACTGGGACTCTTCAGGGCAAACCGGGATGTAGGTCACCCTACTTACCACTGCTTCCTAGCTGTGTGGGCATGGGCCATTACATAACCTCTCTGAATTTTTTGCAAAAAAAAAAAAGGCCAATATCCTGTGCTTGCCTCCCAGGGCTGTTGGGGGTTGGGGGCGGGGAGAGATAAAAAGAGTAAATTATGTGGAAGTTCCTAGAACAGCCCTTGGCATGGAGTAGGCTCTCCATGTTTCTCCTCTTCCCGTGAGGCAGTGGGTCCCCCGTCCCTGGGGGTTAAAAGCAAGGACCTGTCAACTCTCGAGAGTGAGTGGCTGTGGTGGGAGAGGGTGTACGTAGCTGGAGTCAGATTCCAGTCCTCCCAGTGAATTCCAGAGGGTGATGAGGAGGGTGGGCCAGTGAACCGCCCTAGGCTGGAAGCCCCGGGTGGGCTTGGCCCCTCCCCTCTTCCCGGGTGGTGACCTCTGCACCCGTAGAGGCCCTGACCAGGGCCCAGCCTGGAGCGGCTTTGCGGTCACCATCTTTGCGGTTGCCAGAGGCCCTGGTTTTGGTCGGGGCAAGGCAGTGGCTTCGGTTTTCCTGCGATTGCGAGTGGACGCAGCCACGTTCTCCAGGGGATGTGTATTTTCTGTGCTCGCAGGTATTGAAGAGCCTGTTCCAACCCAGAAATTTTTAAGAAGAGCTGGGTGTTGGACTTGGCCCTGCCATTTGATCCTGGCCAAAGGTCAAAGGTCTCCAGGCCTCAGATTCCTGCTGGAGGGTGGGGATGAGTTAGCTCTAGCCTCGGGGATGTGATAAAGATGGAGGTGACAGTGCTGGCTGCTCAAAGCTTCTACACTCCGTCACTTGGGGCTCCCACGGCACTGCCTTTACCCATCGTCCCCTTGCCTGGGAGCCCCTAGAGGCGGAGTGGACACTCCTGAGGGGCTAGCAGTCTCCGCTGTCCAGGCAGATAGGTCCTCAATACAGGAATGAACGAATGAGGTCAGAGCCGGGAAGTGACTCAACATCTGTGACACCAGCTCTGTGCAGGGGCTGCCCCTGAACCCTAGAAGCCAGCACTCCTGTCGGTGGAAGGGTATGACCTGCCAGATGTCCTTGGGCATTGCCAACTCTGCACGGTGGCCTCACACGGGGGCATCGTCCCAGCAGCCTCATCTACTGGCTACTCTGCCCTCCGTTTCCTTTCCTCACTCCAAGAAGGTTCTCTGGCCACTTGCCAGGACTTGCTGGAAGGTTGGTTTCTCGAGAAACGTCAGCTCTGGGAGGCACCTGAGGTAAGAGCGCACAGCCCCCAGCGGACTCCTGTCCAGCCCGTCTCCTCCGTTAAATGCGTCACACTAAGGTCCCAGGTGGCAGTCAGTAGGCGTGCAGCTCCAAGGGTGGTCCCTTAGAGTGGGAGCAGGGTCCACCCCATACCCAGTCTCCAGGCGGAGGCCACAAGGCTCCCAGCCACTGTCCTTAACACCTGTGGCCCAGCCAGGACCTCCCCAGCTCTACCCTCTTGACTGAGGTCAAGAAGTGGGACACCAAAGTTACTTAGAGCTCAGAAACAAGATTTCTCCAAAAACGGGGTACTGGAGCTCCGATAAGAGGTGCCAAAATTCCACTTTAAGACTTTCTGGCCAACCAGCCTATTCGTGAAGGGTCTTATAGGGTAAGGCCCCCTAGTACCGAAGGATGACACCAACATTGAACATATTCTCACCAACAGAGTGTCTGACCATTTTCTTGTTGTTCCCAGATGTTGGGATATTATTTAATGCTGACAATTCAATGGGCAAAATGAAATGGCACCTCATTGTGTTACTTCATATTTTTAACGAGGCAGATTGAGTGTTTTCCACATATTTGTGGGCTGTTTTTATTTCTTCTTCTGAGAAGAACCTATTCACACCCTTTTTTCTACTGGTCTGTCTTTTCTTAATGATTTATAGGTGCTCTTTGTATATTGCAGATATTACTCCTTCGTCATATTTTTTCCCCTATTTTCTGTCTTCCAATTTTGCTTACGCCTTCTACAGTTTTACAACGTCCCATGCGTGTCTTTTTCTTCAGCTTCTGTGTTTCACGCGTGCTTGGAATTTCTCTCACTGAGATGATTCAGCTGCTGCTTCAGACATTCTCAGAATCAGCAGCCACAAGGCTTGCAGTGGCAGCAAATCATGCTTATTCAAAAGAAAATGTTTACTTTAAAAATAGAACTGTCACCCCAAGCATTTATTTAAGCATTAATAGATACGGGTAAAAATTACAAATGGCATAACAAAAGTAACAGCTTTATATTCACAGATGGTCAGATGCTGACAAACAAGAAACAAGATCGCTGTACATTGAGATTTGCTTGTTAGGAAAATGCATATGTCGGCCTGAGGAACGGTCTATTCACAGGCTTTGGTGGAGCCATAATCCCCAATTTTCTACTGATTCCTGCTGCCGCCTGAGAACCACGTGCAGTTGACGTTGGCCCGGGGATGCTGGAGGATTTAGTTTTAGGAGATATCTTTCTGCACGTGGTGGATCTCCTAAAATGTGACAAAGAAAATTGAAATGTTATATAAAACCCCAAAAAACAGTCTTTTTTTTCCCTCTTAACCTGGAAAGAGCTACATAACCCATGATTTTCTTTGGTCTGACGTGTCTCTCTGCCTGTAACCCCCGGGGTTAAGGTCAGCTTCCTTTACAATTCAAGGAGGAAAGGACTCTGCTGTTCTTCAGACGAATTTATCTCCCTAAAATGTCAAGGACTGTCCTGAATTCTGTGACTTGAGGCCAAATCATGTGCCTTCGCTCTACCTACACCTTTCATAGCTGATAATCGGACCCCTCCCTTGGGACAACAGAGCCCAGATCTATTCTGATCAAATAAAGAAAGTACGGGTACCTTGTTTTAAGGCCCCACTCTGGAATGACCGTGCTTGCACAGTCCAGAGAAGGTGGCTGCCTGCATGAAGAGGGGGGCGGAGCAGAGCTGAGCCTCTTCCTGCTCAGCCCCAGCCGGGGGAAGGCTGCAGATGTGGTTCCCTGGGGAGGCCTGCGAGGGCTCGGGTCTGGCACGTCTCTGTCACCGCCACGTCGCCGGCAGCTTGCTGGATTGCCGACACTCCCAGGTCTGTGTTCTTGTACCGCCCACTCGCTGCCTTTACAGTCGGGGAAGAAGCCCTTGCCACAGCCTATTACAAAGTCCTTCAAGCACCTCACTTCCCTCACTGGCCTGAAGATAATAGCTATTCTTTCCTCCTCCCTCCCACCCCCAATAAAATGTAAAATAAATAAATAAAAAAAACCCCACAGGGCCGCATGTTTACAAGGATAACAGCCGGCAGCATTCTCTATAGAAGCCTTTTTCTTACACAAGTATTTCCTGCTGCTTTGTAACCAGGCTGAATTCATGCCCAACACGAATTCCACAGCATCGGGGGCTGGCAAGTGGCCTCCCATCTCTGAATTCGGGGGCCACTGGTCTGTGGTAATGACATTCTGGTGGGACTAGGTCAAGAGCGGTTTTTCAACATTGTTCAACTCTTGCTCCAGGGCAGTATGACCACAGAACTGGCAAAGATGTGCTAACCCGGCAGAGCAGCAGCCTGAATTTCCCTATGCAGATTTCCTGCTGAGATACTAAGTCCAGAGCAAAAACCTGCTGTTTCTGTTGATTTACAGAATGAATCTGCCAACAGCAGCCTCCATCTCACCCAGGCCATCCATTTTACTCCCACTTAGAGAGCTGGCAACACAACTTGGGAACAAAATTCGTTCATTGTGTGCTATTCTCAAGTGGTACGGTTCCGGTAGGGTGGAGAGGTAAGGACCCTGGCAAAGAGCCACGTTTGTCCTCCCATTGTGCAGACTCTCAGCCAGGTGAGCAGTGGAACCGGAGGGATCTTTCAGAGAGGCTCTGGGGAAACGAGGAGAATGAATACAGACACAAAGAGGCTGTGACAAAGGTAAAAGAAAGGCACAAAACGGACTGGTTTTAGGCACAGGGATCAGAGAAGAATCCCATCACAGACACACAGGCTAATTAACACTTAGAGTGCGGGTGAATTTCCCGCCAAAATATAAGATGGCTCTGTCTTTTGGTTTTGTTCCATCCACCAAAAGGGTGGATTACAAACAAATATTTGGTAATACGCAGTTACAATCGGCCCGAGTTTACACGTTTCCCGCACTCCACCGAAAATCTATATGAACCGAGTTAAAGACGGCTCCCGCGGAGTACGCGCAATTCACGCGAGCCGACTTAACTCGTTTCCCACACTCCAAGTGTTAAAAACCAGCACCAAAACTGGGACTGGCTTTGGGACTGACTGAGCTTCCCGACTTCTGGTTAGATCAGGTTCTAGGCCACAGGGCAAAGTGCTTCCCTCTTATAGACAAAAGCTGTGAAAACGGAATAAGGGAGCCAACGGCAATGGACACTTAAAATATGGTTTGCTTTGTTCTAACAAGTAAAAATGAAATCATAACCATGGCTAAGGACTTTCCAGGGACTACATGCAGAAATGAAAATGCTCTGGGCCCTAGCTGGTTTGGTGCAGTGGATAGAGCGTCGGCCTGAGAACCGAGAAGTCCCAGGTTCGATTCTGGTCAAGGGCATGTACCTCAGTGGCAGGTCCTCTCCAGCCCGGACCCTGGTCTGGGCTCCTGCAGTTTGGTGCAGGAGGCAACCAATCAATGTGTTTCGCTCACATTGATATTTCTTTGTCTTTCCCTCTCTCTTCCACTTTCTCTAAAAAAAAAAAATCAATGGGAAAATATCCTCGGGTTAGGATTAAAAAAAAAATAATGCTCTGGGCAGGTGTGGGCGAGCCACTGTCCAAGTCCTAGCTGTAAGTTGAGACCAGGCTGGTACGACCTTGCAGAAGTTCCCCAGGCCAGGCCTTATTTCCACATCATAACCTCCAGGGGACTGGACCACATGCCTTTTAAGGACTCTTACTCTGTGTGGGCTCCTGAGGAAATGAGTATTTCCCAAAACGAAGGAATAAATGAAGAAAATAAAATGTCCCCACCGAAGAACATCTGCTGGTCACTTGAGCATTAAAAACCACAAAATTAAACTAACATTTACTAATGCCTTTAATTTCTGTATCCTGGCAGAAGAATTAGCACATGCAAGATGTTTGTTTATGGACTTAACAAGAAAGTGACAATTTGGTAACATTTGCCTTCCCCTTTCTTCCCTCACTCAAAAAAAAAATTTTTTTTATTACCCAGAAGGAAGAGAGTTACAAAAAACTGCAAAAGAAAAAACACAACAGCTTGCAGAAATTGACTAAGGACTTCTTTCCCTTTTCTGTAAGCATCTCTGTGACAATATGCAGTTATCTGGGAGGCGGGCATCCAGGCTGCTGGGATGGTCATGGTCCTGCCAGACCTTACTTTCCTGGTGAGGACAGAATGTCCTTGCAGAAGACAGGGAGAGGGGCTGTGTGAAGCAGTGCAATGATGAAGAAATACGAACGCTGCCCAGATCATCACCCAGCACCTGACAATACTGCCTTTGTTCCCCCTGGGGGTGCTAACAGCGCCCATAGCAGGTGAGTCCCAGCCCGGGGGTAGGCACATGTAGGAAAGGGAGGATGGAAGCCATTTGCACAGTCTCTCGTAAGACTGGCTTGCCTGAGCTTTTTTTTTTTAAATATATTTTATTGATTTTTTACAGAGAGGAAGGGAGAGGGATAGAGAGTTAGAAACATCGATGAGAGAGAAACATCGATCAGCTGCCTCCTGCACACCCCCCACTGGGGATGTGCCCGCAACCAAGGTACATGCCCTTGACCGGAATCGAACCTGGGACCCTTCAGTCCGCAGGCCGATGCTCTATCCACTGAACCAAACCGGTTAGGGCGAGCAGGCTAATTTTTAAGCTGATAATTTTGAAATGGCCCTCGAATAATGTTATAAATATCCAAAGGGCTGGTACAGCAAGTACTGACAGAATCATAAAAGTAAGGAGAAAACAAAAGCTTCTGTTTATTCAGCTAGTATATGATTTATAGTATTTTAGGTGGAAAAGACTCTTAAGAAGAGCAATTATAAAATTTTTTTTTCTAAGTTAAGGTCAAAATTGGAGTTTTTACAAACTAGAAAATTTTAGTGATAATCAACTTAGGAGTAGATTATTTTTAAAAACTGAAGAAGCCCGGCCAGCACGGCTCAGTGGTTAAGTGTTGACCTATGAACCAGGAGGTTGCGGTTTGATTCCCAATTAGGGCACATGCCCAGGTTGCTGGCTCGATCCTCAGTCAGGGGCGTGCAGGAGGCAGCCGATCAATGATTCTCTCTCATCATTGATGTTTCTATCTCTCTCTCCCTCTCCCTTCCTCTCTGAAATCAATAAAAATATGTTAAAAAATAAATACATAAAATGAAAGCTAAAGCAAATGTTGAATCAAGCAACACTTAATAATGGTTTATTTTAATAAATGATTCTAAGAAAACCAAAGCAGTTGCACTTTTATACTCTTCTCCCTTATACCCTGGGTTGCAGAACTTACCCTTTTGTCTTGAAATCACCAACACCAGTTCTTCTCCTTTTAGACCTTTGGCAGGCTGGCATCCTTTTCCGCTTTCTTTCATTTTTGGTTTTATTTGCAAAGTAGTGAGAGGATATAGGTGTTTCCTCATCGCACTCCTCCGAGCCATTCCTGGCGCTTCTGCTGCTGGCTGGGCTCATCTGTGGGGAGCTGTCCTCAACTGCAAACGGACAACGCAGACGTTACTGTGAGGCCTGCTGGTCCCAGTGTCGTTCGTCTACACGGAGACGCACAACACACGCGGTTCAGCTGACACCTACCTGCTTTCCTGGTGTCTTCTTGCCACCTGGGTTTGACAATTCCGCAGGAACTGAACTTTTTTTTTTTTATTTCACAAAGCCCCAAAGTGCTCAATGGCAATTAATTTTTTTAAAGATAGAGGCTAAGAATTCATTAAAAAAAAAAAAAAATCTGTGAGCCTGGCCAGTGTGGCTGTGGTTGAGCGTCGGCCTATAAACCAGGAGGTCACAGTTCGATTCCCGGTTGGGGCATATGCCCGGGTTGCAAACTTGATCCCTAGTGTGGGGCGTGCAGGAGGCAGCCGATCGAAAATTTTCTCTCATCATTGATGTTTCTATCTCTCTCTCCCCCTCCTTTCCTCTCTGAAATCAATAAAAATATATATTAAAAAAAAATCTGTGATTCTCTTTAACTCAACTAGAGACCTCAGGTTTAGCTCCTACTCTATGTGTATGACCTACACCCATCACTATTTGGGCAGTTAATCCTGTTAAGCTCTTTTAAAAGTATAATGTACTATATAAAAGATAAATTTTATTTGTCAATTTACATATGCTGAAAAAATAACCCGATATAAGAGAAACATAAACTATGCTCTGTACCTTACTTCTGAACAACAGTTATTTAGTAAATGAGTGTCAGAAACTTCCAGGCCATATTTTACTCTTCAAAGACAAAAACACCTCTTTGCATAATATTTTGGCACATTTCACACACCATGCAGGAAATGGGTCTGTATGGCAGCACACACTTAAAGAAGACGGTAACTTCCACAGGTACTGGCATCCCAACACAGGGAAAGAACATGAAACCTCCACAAATTCATTCCTCCATTTTCTGAAGGGAGGCATTTCCTGGCTGGTTTGGTTCACCCTCAGGCTACCCTGCTGCCCGGTAGACAGGACAGGACGGGCCTTGTCCCTCCAACACTGGTTCCCACAGAAAGGCACTGTAGCTGGGGCAAAGAGCGCTGTCACCCCAGCTGTGGGACTTTGGGGATATGAAAAGGCCTCACCCATTTCCACCTGTGAAATGGGTGTTGTGAGGACTGAGTGATACCAAATAGACAAAGCTCTTGGCACAGCGCCTGTCCCTCAATAGTGGCAGCAATTATCACCAGGCCGGCTGCTTCCACAGAGCAGCCCTGTCTCATGTGGGAAAAACCCTTCCCAACAAGTTACTATGGTAAACAAACATGAAGTTCCCACCGAGGGACTGTCACAACCGTCTAAGCAAGGCCTTTAATGGAATAATGACGATACTGAGGAATGTATGAAAACCTTACTTTGCAGCATTTTGTTAATGAATAAAAAACGATTATGAACCGACAGAACTTGAAACACATGCTCACTCGTTTCTCAGCCTGTTTACTATTTCCATTAGCCTAGAAAAGAAACCCCTACCGAGATCCTTACAGAAACAGGAAAAACATTGAACTTGGCCTGTTGTGTCTTATCACACGGCAGTATGTTAGAGGAGGCAGTCTGTTAGAGGAGGACTTCTGCATGTGTCCTGTCTCCTACATCTTCCTTTGCTCTCAATGTCCTCTTAGCCAGTGCTCTCTATAGCTCAGTAGCGATGGGGTTCATAACTAGAGATGCTTCGTGACAGGCCTAATGCAACCTTTGGGAACATCTGCTAATGCTGCACTGACTTGGACAGATTCTTTCGACAGCTAACAACAATAAGATAATCTAGCACTTCAATTCCATGTTCATTTTTCCGAAATATTTAAACTCCTCTCTTACATTTTATCTTTAGACATGCTTTTCAGATAACATGTTCCTTCCTCAGATAAGGAAACTGAAGCACAAAGTAGTTATTTGTGGCCTGCCAAGGACCACAGAGCGAGATGGTGGCAGGCCCAGGAGCTGCACCAGCCCTATGGATTCCCCAGGTATTTGCCTGAACAGAACCAGCAACTTCTGGGCTCAAAGGTCCTCCTTTGGGTCCTCGTAGCAGGATTGGTAGCTGGCATCCCGCAGGGTGTCCTGCCAGAGGTGGCTGGCACACCACTGAAGGGTGCCCTGAGCACTTGAGCGTCAGGGTGACAAGGTGTCGGAAGCATGAACACTCCCGGAAACCACAGAGATTTAATCCAGTGAGATGCATCGCTTAACATTAAGACAGGCTTTCAGAAAACACATATCTGGCTGTATACTGAACCTGGCAGTGTCCACTCGGAGTATTTCTGTAATATTGGAATCACTTCGGCCCCGTATTTTTCCAGTTTATCTTCAGTAACACCATCAATTTGAAGCAAAACCTCAGGATCAGAAGATAACGACTCTGTGCATGAACATAAAAGCAGGAATTTAAATTACCACCAATAGAAAACCCACTGAATTTGTGCTCATTCACCCATTCAGCACATGCTTGTTACGTGCCAACCAAGTGCAGAGCGCTGGGCACATGGGCCAATTTTCTGCAAGGCAGTTGGTGCCAACAGAGGCAGCAGACAGGCCCAGAGGGTAGGAGCCCATCACCCAATTCCAGCAGAAAAGGTGCATTAAGTCAGGGCTGAGAGGGAGGGAGAGCAATAGACATGGAGTAACCAGGGTAACCAGAGAGGCCCTGTGTGCTGTGCCTCAGAGTTTAAGCAGACTTTGCTGTCTTCGCACAATAAAGACTATTTAGGACAATGTCCACAGTCATGTTTCCAGCTCTGACTTCTCCCTTGCACTCCAGACTTGTATATCCAACTCAAAAAGACCGTAACTGAATTCTTTTTTTTTAAACAAGAATTTTTTTAAAAAAAATATTTTTATTAATTGCAGAGAGGAAGGGAGAGGGAGAGAGAGATAGAAACATCAATGATGAGAGAAAGTCATTGATCGGCTGCCTCCTGCACGCCCCCTACTGGGGATCGAGCCTGCAACCCGGGCATGTGCTCTTGACCAGAATCGAACCTGGGACCCTTCATTCTGCAGGCCGACGCTCTATCCACTGAGCCAAAACACCTGGGCCCGTAACTGAAATGTTACACACCCCCAACCCAAACCCATTCTTCCTTTAGTCTTTCTGTCTGTGGGGTGAAGCGGGTAATCTGACTTTAACAAGTAGGCTGTTGAGTCCTCTGCACACAGATGGTACATCGGTCTCGTAGCCGGACAAGCCTGTCATTATAAAGATCACTCTAGCTGCTGTATGGAAAACGGATTATAAGGGAAAGAGCAGAAACTAGGAGCCCAGTGGGAGCCAGCGAGGATGCCTCGAATTAGGATGTAGCAGTAGAGAAGAAGAAGAGATGGATTTGGAAGCGTTTGGGAGGCTGGTCTGTAGAAGTCATTGATGCACTGGCTGTGGGAATGAGGGGGTAATAATTCCTACATAGACTTCAGCAAAAGGTGGATTTCAAATCTTCGATTTTCACATCATTTCTATGTTTAGAGGAGAAGGAACAGACCTTTGGGACAGACTAGAAGGTTTATGGAGGGAGTTAGTGGAAGACGAAGTGGGAAAGGCAAGTAGAAATGCAGATCCCTGATAGACTTCGTACTTTATCTGGAGAGCTGTTGGCATTTTAACAGAGGTTTTGAAAGATTAAAATGTACATCATGTTCATATCTGGAGTTAAGGAGACCAGTTAGAAAATTACACTAAGAGCCTAGGAACAAAATAATGTATTTCATCAACTCCAAGACACTTGTCACTGTCTGACTTTGCTGAGGTCAAGATTGGTCTTACAAGTGCTGACGGTCAAATGGTAGCTGTACTGCGGCTGCCGCCGCCTGTGCACATGAGAACTTAGTCACAGCCATTAGCACTGTTGCACGGCCACGGCGTGACTGCAGGGCCGGTTCTTCACGTGCCACAGAAAATGTCTACAGAACAAATAGACTGTGATTAGCACTGATAAGGTGATTGTGAATGCAGAAAACCCCCGAAATGGAGTAATGGGGGATACATTTGGCACTGATAATGTATCTCTTTTTGAGAAAATGACCACAATTTCCTAGTTTCTTGCACACCACGACCAATGCTTTCCACGACTTAAAAGAGGAGACGCCGAGAGTGGTTGAAGCAGCGTTACCTTTGTGTCACTGAGAGATGTCCAGCCTTCTGTTGGCAGTCTGTAGTATCGTCAAGAAAACACGACCACCAAACCAGAATGAGTGATGGGAAAATAATGGAACACACTAAAAAAGGCTGTTGTTACTAACATTCTCAATGACACGCGGGAAAACAAAGATATGGAAAACTGATTCAAAAATCATTTGGAAGAGTCAGGCTTTGAATGTGAATTTTTACAAGTACCTAAATCAGCTCACTTTAATTTTATGCATTTTTCATGTACAAGCAGAGTAAGTCAAAGTAATTTTCAACAAAAGCACCATGTTACAGTTTAATTAGCAGAATTTTTTCTTTCTTACTAGTTCATAACATAACAGACTTAAAGTAGATGGCATCTTAGAGTTGATGAAGTACTATAATGATCTATGGTGCTGGGGATGGGAATGGAGAAGAGAGAAGGTGAGGATGATGGGACTTTAGGAAGGTAATGTACACTACTAGTTAGTCACCTAAGTAATGACTTATTTTCCAAGGACTTTACTATTAGAATTCTGGTTGAGCTATCTGAAGCCTTGGCAATAACTCAGGGCATGTATTAACTGAAGACACAGAAGAGTGCTTGATCCGGATTCAAAGAAGCATAACACATCATCTCTTTTCATAAGGAACTTAGCTCCTCATTGCAAAGACATCGTTATAATAACATAGCTAAATTTCATAAAGGCAGGCACAAATGGACACATAATCATTAAGTAACATCTGGTATTAGAGACGGCAATTATCCATATTCTAACATCCAGCATTGGAGGAAAGTATCTCAAGAATAATTTTAAACGGCTTCTCTGAGCTTTTAATTTAGAGATTAAATAAAAATAATAAAAAGCCTGAGATACATTTATGCACTTAAAAAAGTTCCTTAGCGAGACTGGCCTTGGGCCTATTACTTGATGCCACGGAACAGAAGGCTCATACACACCTACCTGCAAGCTTCTTGAGAGTGACAGTGTTGAAGATATTGAAGTAATGGACACCAAACACTTTCCCCAGAGATTTGCACACTTCCGTAAGTTCTCCAAGACATTTCTTAACAACCTCTTCCCTCTGGGAAACCTTCGTCACTAAGGCTTTTTGTTTTTTGATACGGCTGGAATTTTCTGTCTCCATAAAGTCTACCTTTGAGTGAGGGGAAAGAGAGAGAGAGAAATCATAGGAGTGTGTGCGTGTGCACACTTGCATCAAAATAGGGGCTTTATTTAATGCTTCATTGCATTTTGGGGGGATACTTCTTTTATGCCAAGTGGATAGTAAGCCCTTTGGGAACAGGGGCTGTGCATTCTCCATCTTTGTGTCCCCAGTGCCTAGCACAGAACTACTTCTTCTTTTTTTTTTTTAATATATTTTATTGATTTTTTACAGAGAGGAAGGGAGAGAGATAGAGAGTTAGAAACATTGATGAGAGAGAAACATCGATCAGCTGCCTCCTGCACATCTCCCACTGGGGATGTGCCCGCAACCCAGGTACATGCCCTTGACCGGAATCGAACCCGGGACCCTTCAGTCCGCAGGCCGACGCTCTATCCACTGAGCCAAACCGGTTTCGGCAGAACTACTTCTTGACAAATGTTTGTTTAGTAAATACATGGTGATTTAGTGATCTGATAACCCACTGAATTCACTTTGATAAGTACTGCATTACTTGGGTTCCATTTTAAGGTCTCTTTGCAAATTAAGAGGAACATAATATGTTCATATAAGATAGTACAAATAAATTCAGTATCCATAAGCTTTGGAAAAGAGAGTTTAATTAGCAGTAATATGTTTTTGTCCACTCACTGTGAAATAATACAATGAAACAAACAGTAAAAATGCCATACCTTTAAATGCCCATTTAGTAAAGCTTGCGCTTTACTTCCGAGCATCACATAGGCAATGGGTTGGTCATTGGCATTGATAAATAAGTCTTCATCCAAGATCTTGTCGAGTATCAGCTTTTTAAAAAGTCTCTCAGCATTGTGTCGTGAATATGTAGACCCCTTTCCAAATATCCCCGACTGAATTTTTGCACTCTTACTCCCTAGTGAGAAGGAAAAAAAGTTAGATTAGTAAATGTAGGCACATCATAACGCTCTAATAGAGGTCATTTGTGGGCAGGTCTGGATAAATGGAATACATCATTACCATGACAAAATATAAATTATTAAAAATTACTTTAAGAAATAAGAAAATGGTTACTATTATTATATAAAAATGTTAAATTATATGTAAAATATGATAAATATGTGATTGTGAGCAAACACATTAAAATATTAGCAGTTTTTTTCTGAAGTTATTTGTATTTTTTCAGTTTTCTACATATTGCAATGTAGTGATCGTGTATAACTCTTATAATAAATTGATTTATCTGCAATCCTTTGTTCCCCTGAAAAAGGTCCAAACTAGAAGGCAAGAATCCTGAAAGGGAAGACTAGCACGGAAGCTGCTTTTGTCCTGAGGAATGAGCAGTCAGAGGAGAAAGCTGAGAAACTGAGCAAATCCTCCTCCTACTCCAATCCAGGCTATGGATTTTTTTAAACGAATGAACCACTTAACTGTTTATATATTTAATTAATTTAATATCTCGGAAAAAGAGACTATAGTACAGAAGGGTTTAAAATTAAAAGCAACATTCCTCGGCCCCACCCTCCCCTCCTGTCTCACTTCCCCTTTCTGAGGCATTCACTTTTTAAACAGCTTTTGTTTTCAGCTCTTGTGGTTACCTCCACAGGAACCCTAACCCTTGTTGTCATTCCTCTAGCCCAGGGTGGGGAACATCTGGCCTGCTCAGTATAAGGCACACAGAATCATTTGGTCTGGCCCTGCCAAGGCATTAGGGGCGAGTTAATTAAATGTTTGACCAAATAGAGCAGGCTAATTTTTTTTAAAATATATTTTATTGATTCTCCACAGAGAGGAAGGGAGAGAGACAGAGAGCTAGAAACATCAATGAGAGGGAAACATCGATCAGCTGCCCCCTGCACACTCCCCACTGGAGATGTGCCCGCAACCAAGGCACACGCCCCCGACCGGAATCGAACCCGGACCCCCCAGTCCGCAGGCCAATGCTCCATCCACTGAGCCAAACCGGCTACGGCAGAGCAGGCTAATTTTTAAGCTGATAATTTTGAATGGCCCTTGAATGATGTTATAAATATCCAAAGGGCCCTTGGCAGAAAAAGGGCCTCCCCACCCCTGCTTTAGCCAGTCACCACCTGACATTTACCTAAGAACCCCCAACTATGACAGGGAGGCTTCATCTCATTTACGCCACCCCCTTCACTTTACCCTGCCCCAAATTTTGCTATAATACTGGTTCATCTATTCAATATTTTTGTAAGTTTAGATAGAACTTCTGACCAGTCTTCCTCCCCTCTATGTAAATTAGCATCTCAAACCTTCTGTGTACTCCCTTCTTTTATTTTTATTTATTTATGTACTTTACTTTTATATCAAGATGAACATATACATCCTGTCCTGTTCTCTAACCATGTTTAAGTCTATATGTTGACGCCAAGTGTTGTAGCGAATCAACAGTTAATAAGTTTCCTTCCCCACTTGGAATGCTGTGACTCTTGTGCAACCCTAAGGAGGATGTTTACTGCATTCAGGCAAATGGGTTATTTTTTTTTTGTAGATTTTATCAATTACTCAAAATCATGTGACAATTTCCTTTGTTTTACACATAACCTTAGCTCTCCTGTATAATCTTTCCCCTGGAGTTTCTAAGTCCCTTTCTCCCTTTTTGGTGGAGAAGTAACATGTGTGTTCTCCACTGCCATCAATAAAATACTTCATTTCTACCCTGGCCAGTGTTGCTAAATGGTTAGAGTGTTGGCCCCGCACACGAAAAGGTCGAGGAGTCAAGGGCGTGTACCACGATTGCAGGTTTGATCCCTGGTCCCAGTTGGGGCACATGTAGGAGGCAACCAATCGATGTGTCTCCTTCACATTGATGTTTCTCCCTTTCTCTCTCACCCTCTCCCACCTAGCCTCCCTCTCTCTCTCTCTCAAAAAAAAAAAAAAAAAAAGAGTCCTAGCTGGTTTGGCTTAATGGATAGAGCGTTGGCATGCAGACTGAAGGGTCCCAGGTTTGATTCCAGTCAAGGGCACATGCCCAGGTTGTGGGCTCGATCCCCAGTAGGGGGCGTGCAGGAGGCAGCCAATCAATGATTCTCTCCCTCTCCCTTCCTCTCTGAAATAAAAATATATTTAAAAAATTAAATAAATATCCTCAGGTGAAGATTAAAATGAATGAATATATTTTTTTAAAAGCTCAGCTAGTGTGGTTCAGTGGTTGAGCATTGTTCTATGAACTAGAAGGTTAAGGCTCAATTCCTGGTCAGGGCATTGTCCGGGTTGCAGGCTCCATCCCCAGTAGGGGGCGGGCAGGAGGCAGCCGATCAAATGATCCTCATCATTTATGTTTCTATCTCTCTTTCCCTCTGAAATCAATAAAAATATATTTTAAAAAATATTTCATTTCTTATTCTTTATACTATTTGGGACAGATTTTTCTTGACCTTGTTACAATGGGCACAAACTGCTTACTGGATGGGCTGCATAGCTTTGTTTCTGGGATTTCTTCTCACCGGCCCCTCAGTCAGTTCCTTTGTTTATGGTATCTTATGATGTGCCTGCCTCACTTTCTTTGCCTTCTAGTCTCCAGAGTTGCTGATATTAATCTGATGCCAGTTTGGTTTTGGTTTCTGATTTTACTTTCCAAAACTTTCAGGACCATCAATAAGAGGTCCAGAATAAGCCACTGTGACATAAAAATTATTGAGCAGAAGAAATCTCAAGTACAGACCTCCCGCCCAAGGAATTCAATCAACTGTCATAAAGCCCCTTCCTGGGAGCAACCAGGGATGACTGATCCTTATCATCGAAGATCCACATCTAAACAGACACTGTCACAAAAACAAACAAACAAACAAACAAAGATTATCTCCCTCCCATCTATTCTCCTAAGGGCCTATTTATCTTTCCAAAAAATCATCTGTTTTCCTTACATAGCCTTTCTCCCCCTCCCATTCCCTTAAGGTGGTATTTAAGCCCCAAAGCCTAACCAACACTTAGACTTAGAGTTATATTTTTCTGTGAACTCCCTTACATACATGATTAAATCTTTTGAAGTTAAATTTGCATGCCCCCCCCCCCCACTACTAAACCTAAGTGTAGAGAAAATTTTCCTCCCTAATATCTCTTTACTCTTGGTATTCTTTTTTTTTCTTATTCTTGGTATTCTTTTGTTTCATTCTTTTTACTTTTGTTCTTAGTTCTTTTCTTTTTTAAAAATTTCTTATTCTTGGTATTCTTACATCTCATAAAGCATTTGATTTGGTATTCAGTGGGCATTTTAATCTGAAGGCCTTTGCCTTTTCCGCTCTGGGAAATTTCCTTTATCATTGGTTTAATAATTCCCTCTATTTTCTATTTCAAAAATTTTATTTGTCAGATTTCATATCTCCTAAGAATAAATCTTCTATATTTTTTTTGCTCAGGTCTTAGAAGATTTTCTAGACTTCATCTTCCAACCTTTCCACTAAATTTACTCTGTCAATCATTTAAAAAATTTTACAGTTCTTTCTGTCATTTTTTTCTTTCCTCAAACATTCTATTATTGAAGTCTTTGTGAAGATACTAATTAAAAGTGTCCTCTCCCTTCTCCCCAAAGCTATTGCCTACTTACTTAGCTATCTCTATCCCCAGGGTCAAATACTCTATTTGGTCTTTCTCTTGATTGTCCATTTATATTTAATCTTCAGGCACCAGGTTAAACTATTCAGTGGACTTCCTCTGTTATTTTATATCCAGGTCTATGTTCCCCCAAATGCCTTCCCTGAATGGGGATATCCAGTCATCAGGTTTGCTTTAGAATAAGCAGGTAGGACTGGACTTTAGGTGGGTTGGGTGCCCCCACCCACCATTGCAACTCAGCTACCCCCCCGTTTTTTAAATATATTTTTACTGATTTCAGAGAGGGAGGGAGAGAGAGAGATAGAAACATCAATGATGAGAATCACTGATTGGCTGCCTCCTGCACGCCCCCAACTGGGGATCGAGCTTGCAACCCGGGCATGTGCCCTTGACCAGAATCGAACCCGGGACCCTTCCACAGGCCCAGGCTCCATCCACTGAGCCAAACCTACTAGGGCTCAGCTGCCGTTCTAGTCCTCAGGCGGCTCATTTATTTTTGTTTTAGAATCAGGCTGGTATTTGATGCAGTTCTTTGGTGGGCAGACTCTTTTTAACGGCCCCCTCCTATTTTCCCTATTTTGGGCTCCCCTGATTTCACTCCCACTCCCTGGTCCAGACTTCAAGCCTGAGGCCTACTGATAAGGGTTCTGCCTGGTTGATAGTCCCTCCCTTGCTCTAACTCTCTCCTACAATTATTTTAGTGTCGTGGTTTACTGCGCTTCATTCCATTTGCCAACAGGCTTCCATCCATTTCCTCAATCTAATGATGGTCTCTCTCTGGTTCTCTATTGCAGATATAATTTCTCATTTTATTTCCTTATTATTATTTTAACAGAGCGTCAAGCAAAAAAAAGAAGAAAGATACTTATGCTCAGGCTGCCATCTTGAACTGAAAGTTAGTCAACGTGTAATTCTCTAAGCAAGTTCTATTCCACTCAGACTAAACTGTATAAGCTTTATTTTATTTTTTTGTATGTGAGAACTCCTCACCTTAGTGCAGTGATGGTGAACCTATGACATGCGTGTCAGAGGTGACACGTGAACTCATTTTTTTGGTTGATTTTTCGTTGTTAAATGGCATTTAAATATGTAAAATAAATATCAAAAATATAAGTCTTTGTTTTACTATGGTTGCAAATATCAAAAAATTTCTATGTGTGACGCGGCACCAGAGTTAAGTTAGGGTTTTTCAAAATGCTGACACGCCGAGCTCAAAAGGTTCGCCATCACTGCTTTAGTGACTTATAAATTCCATAAAAATAATTAGCATAGCCCTGGCCGGTGTGGCTCCGTTAGCTGAGCACTGTCCCATGCACTGAAAAGCCTGTTTGATTCCAGGTTGTGGGCTCGATCCCCAGTCGGGTTGCATGCAGGAGGCAGTGATCTATGTTTCTCTCTCACATCGGTGTTTCTCTCTTTCTCCCTTCCTCTCTCTCTCAAACTCAATTTTAAAAACACATAACATAAAGTGTTTCTTTCTGAAAAAAAAAAAAAAAAAATCGGCATAATTCATAAAAACCGATTTTCTTTTGTTAGTCGAAAAAGGTTTTATCCTGAAGCCCTTCACGTCTATAAGAAAACAGACAAGGGGATTCTGTAGATGTTCAACTTCAACTGATATAACGCAAACTAATAAAACAGATCACTTACCCAAGAAAATGTCAACCAGCATATTCATCGTAAACCTCCCACAAGGACCGATATGGTTCCTATTTCCCGTTCCTTGTGATGAACTATGTTCTTGCACAAATCTTACAATATTTTTCACATCGTCAGTCACATCTCGTGTCTTATAATCCTATGAATAAAAAGAGATTACCTTACAGGATAATTAAGATGAGACCTAGATTGCTAAGGTTTACTAACTAGCAGTGTCATAAATCAACCGTTTCCACACCAAAATCTAAGTAAGTTTCACATGTTCATTCTCTTCTAAGTTCTTATATTAACCTTGCGCCCAGAACAATTAGCACTCTACTATATCTATTTTATTACTGCTTCACAGACATACATCCTGTCTTTCAATGACCTGACAGTACTCTACAGGTAAGAATACTCTTAGAAAACAAAATACCCTTCAGAACCCCTAGAGCAGTGGTCTGTTATGTACTGGCTGGTGACTTCTGAGATGAAAAACATGCAAATTTATGAGTTTCCCATCTCCTTTGGGTCCCTGGTGCCGCAGTCTATCTTTTTTATTATCTCCTGTCAGTTCGCTTTCTCATATTCCCCTTGGCTGACTCCAAATTCTGCCTTTTTCTAAAGCACCATTACCATATGCTCTCTCCGCTAGTTCTCCAAACCAGCAATCTAACCACTTGCGTGTCCCCAAAGCTGTGTCCTGCTTCTGTGTTTCTGTACATGCCACTCCCCCTCTTCTAATCCTTGTTCATCGGCCACATTTCAACAACCTGAAGGCGATCAGGTTCCTCGTCTTACACGAACACTTGGAGTGATTTGGAGGCTCTATCTAGAATCATCAGGAAAGAGTGCCCTGTCACTCTCTCCAACATCATTCCCGACTAGGACAGAGGCGATCCTCCCGCACCTTGGCCTTCAGCACTGATCTCCTCTGCTCCAGTGATCCTGTCCTCCACAGACGCCAGCAACTCACTCCCTAGGTCACACCTATTACTTCTCCCAAACGAATGAAGACAACCCCTTGATTCTCTGACCACCACCCTCCTACCTTTCCAGCTCACATCATCTGGCATCCACCAATCCTCACCCTCAGATGTTCGCCTAACTCAGCATGAATCCCACAGACCATCATATAGTCATACCACCCTTCATACACCCTCAAGTCCTTTGCCCTTAGGCCTCGTCATCACATCGCCTGACAGGACACAGTAGATGCAGTGCTCCACCATCCATGTCTGCACTTCTGCAGCTGAACTTGGCTGGAGAAACACTTACACTTGCCACCATGTTGACTGTTTGCACGTTCAATACATGGCCACAAACCTCAGGTGGACCCTTAACGCTGCCAGGTAATCTCTGTACATCCTTAGTCCATCACTCCTCCATTCTCTTAGAACAGTGGTCAGCAGACTACAGTCCATGAGCTATACGACTGCTTTTCTAAATCAAATTTTACTGGAACACAGCCATGGAAAACCAATGCACTTATTGTTTATGTCTGCTTTGGGCTAAAAATAGCAGAGTTGAGTAGTAGCTGTGACAGAGGCTGTGATTCTAAGGCCCCAAAGCTTAAAATATTTACTCTCTGGCCTTTTAAGATAAGGTTTACTGACCCCTGTCTTAGATGACTATTTTACTTTCTCCTTTCTGTTCAATCCCTTCTCTTATCCTGTCAGCTGACGACCTCGCTTCCTACTTGAGAAAACTGAAGTAACCAGGAAAGATTTCACAAACTTCCTCCATTACAGCTACCGTCAGCACCTGCTGCGCATTTTCTCATCCTTCCGCCTGTTATTATAGATGAACTACCCAAGTTTCCGTCTAAAGGCAATCTCTCTACTTATACTGTATACTAGAGGCCCGGTGCACGACATTAGTGCACTGGGGGTGGGGGGTGGGGTGGGGTGGGCGCCCTCAGCCAGGCCTATGCCCTCTCGCAGTCTGGGACCCCTCAAGGGATGTCTGCCTGCTGGCTTAGGCCCACTCCCTGGACATCCCCCGAGGGGTCCTTAGCGCTGCTGCGGAGGTGGGAGAGACTCCCTCCACCGCTGCTGGGCTCGCCAGCCGTGAACCCAGGTTCTGGCTGAGCGGTGCCTCCCCTGTGGGAGATCACTGACCACCAGGGGGCAACTCCTGCATTGAGTGTCTGCCCTCTGGTGGTCAGTGCAAGTCATATCAACTGGTCTTTCCACTTTTCGTTTGATTTGCATATTTGGGTTTTATTATTTAGGACTAGATCCCATCCCCTCTGCTTACTCAAGGACATTGCTTCAGCAATTCTCCCCCATCCTTATGTACCAAATTGTCATCCTCTGGAGGCAAATTCCTATCCGCACACAAATGTTTATTTCTCCTGTCTTTTCTTGACTACACTTTCCCTGCCAGCTACTTTCATTTCTCTGTTCATCTTTCAAACAAAACTGGAAAGAGTCCTATATATTCACTGCCTCCAATTTTGCGCCACCCTACTGAAACTGGTCAAGCCACAGTCATCATGGTTTCTGCAGGGCCACGGTGAATTCTCAGTCCTAATTGTACTTGGCTTAGCAGCAGCATCTGACTACTTAAGCACATTCAGATCCTTAGCTTCTTTGGTTTTCCTCTTATCTCACTTGTTCTTTCTTGGTCTTCTTTCCTAGTTCTTCTTCTTCTCAATCTCTTCATGTCCCAGGACTCAATCTTTGGTTTTCTTCTCTTCTGTCTAAACTTATACCCCTGAAGATTTCATCTGCTCTTGTGCCTTTAAATAATATCAATAAGTTAAACACCCCCAAATTTATATGGATCACCGGCCTCTTCTCAGAATTTCTGGATCTAATGGACAGATCTAACTCAATACGCCCCAAACGGAATTCCTGACTCTTCCTGCCAGACAGCCTTACCCAAACATCTTTGCTGAGGATCACTCCGTTCTGAGTGACGCAGCCCTCCAGCCACTGCTCTGACCTGCCACGACCTCTTTCCTAACTCATAGCCCTGCTCACCACGCGGGCTCCTTTTTTATCCTTCATACGCACAAGCCTGCCCCCACCTGAGGGCTGTTGTTCTTGGCTTCAGCCAGGAATGCCCACATCCAGAGAGCTGCTCAGCTAACTCTCTTCTTCAGGGTTTTGCTCAGACGTCACCTTTACAATAAGGCTTCTCTGGGCCACCTTATCTAATGCTGCATCCTGCATCCCACCCATTAGTCCTGACTCCTTATAATGCTGCGCTTCTCACCACAGCCCTTACCCCTTAACATGTGCTTGTTATGTGTAGTGTTTGTATTCAGCCTCCTTCTGCTAGAATGTAAGATCCTCAAGGGCAGGGACCTTTACATTTTGTTCTGTGATGTATCCCAAACTCCTACAACAGTGCCTGTCACAGAGCAGGCACTCAACAAATATTTGTTGAATGAGTGCCCTGATTAGCAATGTCTACAGAGTTGGGTGCGGTGGGTGGAGATGGCCATGAATCCAGATTGCACCCCAAGAGAGATTCAGTCACCTCTGCTCTGGCTAGTGCTGCATGTCTAGTTGTAACTGCACTGATCACATATAGGTCTGTCTCCCCTCCAGTCTATGAATGGGCCCCACCACGCTCTTTTGTGAATTCCCAGCACCTTACACAGACATTTACAGTAACATATCACGTGAGAAAATGCTCTGTAAACTTCAGACATTAAAACAGGGGTCCTCAAACTTTTTAAACAGGGGACCAGTTCACTGTCCCTCAGACCGTTGGAGGGCCAGACTATAGTTTAAAAAAAAAACTATGAACAAATTCCTATGCACACTGCACATATCTTATTTTGAAGTAAAAAAACAAAACGGCAACAAATACAATATTTGTATTTGCATGTGGCTCGCGGGCCGTAGTTTGAGGACCCTTGCATTAAAACATAGCATTACCATCATAGGTACAATCAAGTACTTGAATTTGACAATCTCCCAAGGTTATTTTTAGGACAAATGATAGCTAACTCATGTAGAAGTTATTGCCATTATTCTTCATAGTTTTTTAAAAACCGATTTATAGAATAATCTAATTGATCTGAATTCAAACACACAGGACTCCAGGTACTACAACTCTTTTGAGAATGAGATCTTTAAATATGGATTAGAGTTGAATTGAAAATATTCTACCTGCTCACTTTGGATTTTTTGTACAATGATATTTCTAAAGTATCTTATAATTATTAGTGCATGTATACAATAACCCCCGTGTTTTGGACAGGCCCAGTATATTTTTAAGGGCTTCTAATTCTAAAGATATTCCATAGAATATTAAAATGTTTCCATTCCAAATCACTATGGGAAGGAAGCAATCTTTCCCTTGTTTAATTCCTTAGGGGCCACTATTTTCATCTCACTTTTTTTTTTTTTTTTTTGGTAGCAAAGACAGTTTTATTGATTGAGAAGGCTTATCTCAAGAAGATGGGAAAACTAATTATTAAATCCATCTTTCATCTAACTTTTCTATATCAAGAGGAGAAAATTTTTTTTCCATTTTACCTTTGACTGACAGCAATTATCACAAGAAACTTCTGAGTATTTCTTACAAAAATCAGGATTAAATCCAATTTCACCAAAGTAAGCCAAAAGCTGTATTCGCCTGCATTCTGTTATATTTTCACAGTAATGAACCATACTATACAAATTATTAAAGTGAGTCTCTCTTGTATGATGGTTTCCATCTTTTTCCACTAAAAGAAATGAAGAACATAGCAAAAAAGACTTATTAGAGTAAAAAAACAAAAGAGAATATCACAGAAATATTTATAATACATTCATGCTACTTTAAATATTAAATGAAATAATTATTAATAGCATTATATACCAACATAACATTCTATATTATAATTAACGAAATATTTATGGCCATCCCTTAAGATATTAGTTTTATAGGAATAAATGTAGATAGTTAGGAGTATCTGAAAATATTCTGCAAATCTTCATTATTCTCGATGATGAAGATTTGCATGATATGCGCATGATATTAAAACTCCCATATTTATATAAGCATTTCTATTTTTCTGTAACTAGACCAAAAGTACCACAATAGCAGAAGTAGGGTACCACTATCACGAGACTGAAGGGGGACTTACTCAGTATAAGTCTCTTCAGTCTGGTCACATCATAATAGGTATAGAAAAGCAGGCAGTGAGATATCTCCCCGTCTCTTCCAGCTCGGCCAGATTCTTGGTAGTAACCCTCCACAGATTTAGGGAGAGACGCGTGGATCACAAATCGCACGTCGGGTTTGTCAATCCCCATTCCAAATGCAATTGTCGCACAGATAACCTGATGTAAGAGCAAAAGCCTATTAGCCTCATAAGGCATTAAAACAGTCATTTTAATAACAGGTGCTCCTAAAAGCTTTCTCTTCTATTTTGAGATGTACTCTATACAACAATCTAGTATCTTAACTTGGTCCCATTATTTAGCACAACTAATAGGAGATTTCCAGATTGGCAATTTGCAGTTTTATTGAGACCCAAGAAGGTAAAGAGACACTCGACTTGGCACTGTCATCTGAGGGAGCCGGTAGCAGCCACCACTCAACGTGCTGTAGCTGTTTGTTCTCTTACGTGTCTGACGAGGTGGTGTGAGTGCCGCGCACACGGCCAGGGTGTCCAGGCCAGTGATCAGAACCGTGCTGCTCAGCTCAGGTGTTCCCAGGGCTTGAGCGTCCAAGGTCACTGCTGCCAGCTTCTCTGATGATTCACCGGTTCCGTGTGTACCATCTCTTCTCCCAGTGACAGCAGCTGATCATACAGCCGCTTCTTTTATTCATCAGTTAATTGCAGTCAAAATGTGAAGTTTTTTATCAAAACTCATGTGAGTAAAAGTCTGAGTTGTTTATACCAGGAAAAGACTGGACACCCTAGATCTTGGCCTATGCAAATTACTTAGTAGAAGCAAGGTGACGGTTAAATTTCAGGAGCTTGATAAATCAGTGTAGCAAAAAATCACCTTCAAGAATATCCATTTCCTTTGCAAATTTAGGGCCTATTTAACCCAGACAAAAACACTGTATCTCCAGGCAAAATTGCATTATATAAATAAAGCTATTTTTAAAAGATTAATTGCTACAGCAAAAACAGTATTTCAAAAGCAAATGAACTATCTGGCAGCCAGACCGAGGCTAACGCCACGATCTCAGTGGCTGTGAATCCCAGAGAAGGGAACTGCAACCTATGGAGCACGTGCGTGGCAAATGGGGACATTCGTCAATGTTGGGAATGGCAGCAGCCTGCAGTCTAGGTTCGCGGTCCATCTAAATTTACGGCACTTTGATCAAAGGCAGAGCTCCTTGGAAAGAGGAAGTGCAGTGGTGGAGAGCAGATAGACTTCGGAGAAAGATGTCCCAGCCCACAAGCCCACAGGGTGTGGTCCACAAGGTTCCAAGAACCCCACGTGGGGCGGATACATGACTCAAGGCCGCAGATGACAGCCAACTCCTTCCGAAAGCCTTCACCTGGGAAACCAGCTTTGTTTAGTTGTCACTGCCTTCTTTATTTCTGTATTGCTTTTAAAACTTCAGGCTATAATCATTTCTTTGTGAAGAAAAACAACCAAGTTTTATTCTAACTCACAAATCTAACAAGACCAAGGCTGTCCAGTAGGCTACACCCTGACTGTAAGGATTAGCTTGTCTGAGAGTAGAAAACAATTAGATTTTAAAAATATTTTTAACCAATTTTTAAAAACCACATTTTTATCAAAGTGTTTTATATTTATTTTATATATATATATATATATATATATATATATATATTAGAATATTTATACTATGTATATATTTTTAAATTCTCACCTGAGGACATTTTTTCCATTGATTTCTAGAGAATGGAAGGGAGGGGGAAGAGGAGGGGGCAAGAGAGAGAGGGAGACAGAACAAAAAACATCGATGTGAGAGAGTGTGCCTCCCTACCAGGGCTGGGGAACCTGCAACCAAGGTTCGATTCCCTTGACTAGGAATCGAACCCAAGACCCTTTGGTCTGAGGGCTGATGCTCTAAACACTGAACCAAACCAAATTGGTCAGGGCTAGATATAAAGATTTAAAGAAGTTTAAAAAAATCGGTTTCTTTTTTCTTGTCTATTTTTTTTTATTCAATCTTTGTTATGGTTGAGATTACACACTTTTGAATTCTACATTTCACTACCTTTCTCCATCATGAACATTTTCATATCATTAAAAAATTCTTCATAAACCATTTTTAATGGCATGAATGTAGTACCATAAGGTGCCCATTCCTTCTCTCAGGACATTTAGGCTCTTTAGTAGTAAAATGTTATTGGGGTATTTACTATTAAAGATCACACTGATGTCGATTCCAAGCTCACAATTCAGATTTGAGGCTCTTGATAATAGCCCACCATATTGTTTTCCAGAAAGGCTGTCATGAACACCAGGGACCTGCCTCTTCCAGCACTGTCCCCAACAGTTAGTAAAAGTTTGTGCAAGAGGTGAAAATGATCTCTCACTATTTTAAATTTGAATTCCTTTGAATAGTAGCAAAGTTGCATTTTAAAAAGCATTTGAATTTGGCCTTTTATAGTTTTTCCTATCCAATAGTCTCTTAAAAGAATAAAAAATATGTATATATGTATATATAGATAGATAGATAGATAGATAGATAAATTGATTCCAGAGAGGAAGGGAGGAGAGAGAGATAGAAACATCATTGATCAGCTGCCTCCTGCAGGTCTCCTAACTAGGGATCGAGCTTACAAGCCAGGCACGTGCCCTAGACTGGAATCAAACCCAGGACCCTTCAGTCCACAGGCTGATGCTCTACCCACTGAGCCAAACCGGCTAGGACTCCAATAGTCTCTTGATGGCCTATAGGGTAATTTATTAAGACTCATGTTTTTCTTATCAAATTTTTTTAAAAAATATATTTTATTAATTTTTTACAGAGAGGAAGGGAGAGGGATAGAGAGTTAGAAACATCGATGAGAGAGAAACATCGATCAGCTGCCTCCTGCACACCCCCTACTGGGGATGTGCCCGCAACCAAGGTACATGCCCTTGACCGGAATCGAACCTGGGACCTTTCAGTCTGCAGGCCGATGCTCTATCCACTGAGCCAAACCAGTCATGGCTCTTATCAAATTTTTACAAGCTCTTCATTATGTTTTATTTGCTGAAAATATAATTCCTAGTTTGTTGCTGTTTATAATTTTATTAATACAGAAACATTGAGCTCTTTAGGTATCATTTCTGTGATTACTTAGTTTTGGGCTATTTTTAAGCTTAGGTTCTCTTCTACTCAGAATTCATTCATTTAAAAATAGCAATATCTTTATTTACCTGTAATTAATTTTGATACGAGGATCCAAAATGATACCAGTAGAATAATCTTCCCTTCCTCATTAATTTTTAATACATTCTTTATTATATACTGGTTTTACATGTTTCCCAGTGTGTTTCTGAATTTGTTTCATTGATCTATGTTATAATATAGCTAGTGTTGACGTGTTATTATTTTCTTGCCAAATTCTTTTAGTTATCTTCACTTGAATATTCTTCCAGGCAAACTTTAGAAAAAAGTTTATCAAAGGAAAAAAAATACTAGAAATTTGATTAAATATATAAATTGATTTGAGAAGATTGACATCTGTATTTCAGTGAAGATAAATCAATGATCTATTTTCTGAACATTTACATATGTGAAAATGCCTTCCTGTTGTTTTCAACATAAATGATATTGAGCTAGGTATGAAATTCTCTAGTTCCAGTCTTCCCATTTCTGATTCTAAAAAGTTTATTCCTGTTTTTTTAAAATATGTATTTAGTGAAACTCCTTAGGCATGTCTGTTTTCTGTTCTTTGTAGAGTAAATCTTGATGAATATAATTTTTTAGGTTTGTAAATCAAAGTGGCAAACTATATCTATATGTAAGTTTCCCCCCAGTGATTTTTGTCTTTTAAATTTGTTATATATTTACTTATAGCACATTTTAACTATCCTGATTTCTTGTTTGGGTACACTTATTATTTGTAAGCTAAACCCCTATCCCCTGTCACCAACAAGTATCATATTTTTTCTTTTCAATTTCCATCTGTTTTCTTTTTTTTTTTTTTTAAATATATTTTTTATTGATTTTTTACAGAGAGGAAGGGAGAGAGATAGAGAATTAGAAACATCGATGAGAGAGAGACATCGATCAGCTGCCTCCTGCACATCTCCTACTGGGGATGTGCCCGCAACCCAGATACATGCCCTTGACCGGAATCGAACCTGGGACCTTTCAGTCCGCAGGCCGACGCTCTATCCACTGAGCCAAACCGGTTTTGGCAGCCATCTGTTTTCTTTTTCTTTCACATTCTCAAGTTATTTACTACATCATTGATTAAAATGTCTGCATTGAGTCAGATTTACATCTTAGACCACTTCTTTCTGAGGATACTAGGCTGATATCCTCTAAGATATCCTTCTGTTCCCCCTTAGGAAATAATTTTGAGAGATATTTCTCCTCCATATCTTGAGGGTAATGGTTTCTTTTTCTGAGAGCTGAAAAATTCATAGACTACAAAGAAAGCATTAGTCCTTTTCCTGAGATTCACTCTTGCATGGATACAGTAAAAGGACAGACAATACTAAGTGTTGATGAGGAAGCAGAGACATTGGAACCTCATATATTTCGGATGGGAATGTAAAATTCTATAGCTTACATTCCCATCAATTCAAACAAAGTCTTATACACACATTTATTCACAATAGTCTACCAACTGATGAATGCCTAGCAAACTGGTAAATTCATACAACAGAATATTACCTGGCCACAAACATGAATGAAGTACTGATACATGCTACAATGTCGATAAACCTTGAGAACATATAAGTGGGTGGAGGCAGGAAAGGGGAGAACGGGGGACATCTGTAATAGTGTCAACAATAAAAAAACACATTATGATAAGTAAAAGAAATGAGTCACAAAAGAACACATTCTGGCCCTGGCCGGTTTGGCTCAGTCGATGGAGTGTCGGTCGGCCTGTGGACTAAAGGGTCCTGGGTTCGATTCTGATCACATGCCTGGGTTGCAGGCTCGATCCCCAGTAGGGGGCGTGTAGGAGGCAGCCAATCTATCTCTCTCCCTCTCCCTTCCTCTCTGAAATCAATAAAAATATATTTAAAAAAGAACACATTCTGTATGATTCCATTTATATGAAACTAGAGGCCTGGTGCACGAATTCGTGCACCAGTGGGGTTCCTTGGCCTGGTCTGCGGGATTGGGCTGAAACCGGCTCTCCAACATCCCCCGAGGGGTCCCAGATTGCAAGAAGGGCCAGGGAGGGACTGTGGGAGGGCTCCAGGGTGTGTCTGACCCATCTCGCTGAGTCCCAATTGGCTGGACCCCAGCAGTAAGCTAAGCTATCAGTCGGAGCATCTGCCCTCTGGTGGTCAGTGCACGTCATAGTGAGTGGTTGAGCGGCCTTAATATATCATTAGCATATTATGCTTGGTTGAACGACGACTGGACACATAGCATATTAGGCTTTTATTATATAGGATGTCCAGAATAGGAAAATTTAGAGAGACAGATTAGTAGTAGCTAGTAGATTAATGGTTACCAGGGAATGGAGGGTTGGGGGAGTAAGGGGTAGCTGCTAATGGGTATGGGGTTTCTTTTTAAAATGATGAAGTATTCTAGAATTAGTGGCGATGGCTGCATAACCTTGTGACTATACTAAAACCACTGACTTGTAAACTTTTTTAAAAGGGTGAATTTTATGGTCTTGAATTAATCTCAATAAAAATTGTTGTTGTTGTTTTATTTAAGAAAGAGCAACTTTAGAAGTCTTTAAAAACATTTTTTTTATTTCAGTCTTATTTTGATGTTTACTACTTATGATAAAAACAATTTTCATTCTACATGAGCATGTCTGCTTATATACTATAAAAAAATTACTTGTTTATCTTAAAAAAATGTTACCTGACAGCCATCCTGGTTGATCCACTTGTGCTGCACTTCGTCTCTGGCAGAATCACTGAGGCCAGCATGATAAGCAAGAGCAGGGAGACCGTTCCTCTGCAAGGTGTCAGCCATCGTGTCACATTCTCGCCTGGAGAGGCAGTAAATTATCCCTGAATCATCTGCCAAGAAATGAGGATTTGTAACATAAATAACAGCACAATCTATATTATGTTCTTTAAAACATATGAAACATAAATAGACCTCCATCGTTTTCTTATAGTAGGTAAAAGAATTCAAGCAAGGAGAACTCACGTGCACTGAAAATGTCAGGGTTTGACCTTTAATCCTATCCCTGCTATGACTCCTGAGGTGGACCGGACAAACCCCGGGCTCTATTCCACACTGGCTAGAAAATGGGCAGGCACCCTTACACAAGTTTTGTTGAAAACAAATGTCAATACGTATCAAAGAGCCCCAGAAATGCTTCTATCTTTGGACTCAGTTTCCTTTTAGAAAACTAATATAGAAAATAAAGCGGTACAAGGACTTACACAAAAAGTTTTATTCAAATTTTAAAAATTAGAAAAATTTTAATGGTCAAAATTAGGAGGCTAAGACAGGAAATTATAAAATAATATACGGTATAATTGTCAACTATTTTCTATGTTTTTAAAAAGACATGAGAAAATGCTCAAGATATAAAACAAGTTAAGGATAGAAACACAATCTATAATAATAAAAGTGTAATATGCTAATTAGACCGGACGTCCTTCCGGGGCTGCTGCCTTGGCCCTCGGAGCCCCTTGCACGAATTTCATGCATCAGGCCTCTAGTATATATATACTACGTGTACCAGTTAATAATGTGGATTTTTTTCAGTAGATGGAGTTACACATATGTTGATATATATGCAATTTGATATGTATGCAATTTTGTTATACTGACAGCAAGCTTCAAAATTTCATGTCAAATTTGCTGAAGGTGTTAACATCGTAGATATTTTTACGCTTAAAAATGTTGAATTTCGTGCCAAAAAAAGAGCAATTGTGGGAAGTTTTAACTCATTAATTTATTTTGAAGAAAAAGTTATCATATACTTCAGGAAGATTATGGTGAATATGCTCTATCTCAAGATACTTGTAAATGCTGCTTTAAACGCTTTAAAAGTGATGATTTCGATGTGAAAGACAAAGAACGTCCAGGTCAACCGAAAAAGTTTGAAAACCAACAATTACAAGCGTTATTGGATGAAGATGCATGTCAAACTGCTCAGCAAACAATTTCCGATCGTTTACAAGCAATGGGAAATATTCTAAAGGAAGGAAAATGGGTGCCACATCAACTGAACGAAAGATAAATGGAAAACCAAAGTCATCAGTAAAATGTTGCTTCAATGGCACGAAAGAAAGTCTTTTTTTGCATCGGATTGTGACTGGCGATGAAAAGTGGATTCATTTTGAGAATCCCAAACGCACAAAATCATGGCTTGATCCAGGTCAACCATCAACATCAACTGCAAGGCCAAATCGCTTCAGAAAGAAGACAATGCTCTGTGTTTGGTAGGATCAGGAAGGTGTGGTGTAGTATGAGCTTCTAAAACTAGGTGAAACCGTTAATACTGATCGCTACCGACAACAAATAATCAATTTGAACCACACTTTGATCATGAAACGACCAGAATGTGCCAGAAGACACGGCAAAGTAATTTTGCTTCATGATGATGCACCATCACACACTTCAAAACCAGTTAAAGACACGTTAAAAGATCTTGCCTGGGAAGTATTAACCCACCCGCCGTATTCACCAGATCTTGCTCCTTCAGATGAACCACTTGTTCCAATCGATGGCACATGCACTTTCTGAGTAGCACTTCAAAACTGGGAAATTCGGTCTCTGAATGGTTTGCCTCAAACCAAGAAAAGTTCTATTGGGACAGTATCCACAAAATACCTGAAAGATGGGGGAAATGTGTAGCTAGCGATGGACATTACTTTGAATAAAGCACTTTTGGTGTTTCTCTTGAAATTATCTTGTTTTCTTTGATTACAAAATCCGCCATTATTAACCGGTACACCTAGTATATAGTATGCTAATGGACAGAAAAATGCATTCAAAAATTAATGGAAGGAAACAAACCAAAAAGATAACAGTGACTTGTCTTGAGGTGAGGTTTGTCTTTTGCTTCCTTCTCCTTTTTGTTGCTTTCTAAATGTTCTTCAATGAGCATGTATTATATTTATTGTTGTTTTTATGTATTTATTTTTTAAATCAGAAAATAAAGGTATCAAGAAAAAGCCATTTCTCTGTGTCAGAGCCAAAGGTATAGATTTACACACTATTATGCTATTTATATTAGCTGCCAGGGAGAGGGAAATTACTAACTTTTTCATGGTCCATCACTGCGCTGTTTGATTTCTTCAAACCAATATGTATATTAAGTTTTAAAAAATGAAATAAAGATGTTTAATTTCTCCATGGAAAGTGGGTTACATGGGAAACTACCATTAATCTCAGAATCTCATTTTAATTATTATAGTTTAAAGGCAGACACACTTGGGAGAACACAATGAAACAAAGACCTGTATAATTCACACAGATAGAAGCCAGAGTTAAGACACTGAAACCATCCATTATAAAATAGAGATGTAGGAGGAAATATTTAATATTTTTTTTTTGGTTAGGGTTTATTTTAAAACATATTTTTTATTGTTAGGGTTTATTGTTATCAAACCGAATGAGATTTCACAATATTCAGAACTGAGGGAGTTGAGATATTCTGCTCTATAAATAGCAAATCAGTGCTATCATGAGAAATGTTTCTTATGCAATTTTATATATTCTACTAGAGGCCCGGTGCATGAAATTCATGCACACAGGGGTGGGGGGGTTCCTTGGCCCGGCCTGCGCCCTCTTGTAGTCCATGAAGTCCTCGGAAGATGTCCAACTGATGGCTCAGGCCCGCTCCCCAGGGGGAACGGGCCTAAGCTGGCAGTCAGACATCTTTAGTGCTGCCGCCACCACCACTGCGCTCGACAGCCGTGAGCCCAGCTCCTGCGTTGAGCGTCTGCCCCTGGTGGTCAGTGCACATCATAGCGATCGGTAGTCCTGCCGTTTGGCTGATTTGCATATTAGCCTTTTATTATATAAGATTGTGGTACTAAGAAGACATGTATTTATTACTTCTTGACATAATTCATCACATGTCTGTACTCACGTGGGTGATGCTTCCTGATCCATTCTAAGCAATCAAATGCTACCTTTTTAGGCTTCTTTGGTAGCACATAGTATTTCAGATTATGTCTGTTAAAGCTCATGGTAAACCTAAAAGAAGTCCCAAACATAAAATTTTGTTACTATGAGAAAATACAGTTTCAGCCACCTTCAAAAATTAAATGCTGATGTTCCACAAAGCAAACCTAATCATCGAGTTGTGTTAAATTGAATATTGCCCTGGCAGCTTACATAATAGAACAGAGAAATGGAAGTTGGGTTAGGGGGCTAACAAAATGAATGGTGACAAGGAGGGAGTGTCTATGGGACTAGCTGACAAGGAGCTAGGACTGTAGAAGAGAACACATGCAGATAAGCCGAGAGCCCAGCCTCCAAGATGAAGATGACTAAGAGCAGAGATGACTAAAACATTATTTAAAAGATTAAGAAAATCAGCCCAGCCAGTGTGGCTCATGGTTGAGCATCGACCTATAAACCAGGAGGTCACGGTTCGATTCCTGGTCACAGCACATGCCTGGGTTGTGGGCTTGATCCCCAGTGGGGGGTGTGCAGGAGGCAGCCAATCCATGATGATTCTCTCATCATTGATGTTTCTACCTCTCTCTCCCTCTCCCTTCCTCTTGGAAATCAATTTGGAAAGCAATTATTTATATATATATATATATATATATATATATATATATATATATATATATATATATATATATATATATATCTCCATATCCATAAGAGAAATCATATACGTTTTCCCAAATGTTGACTGTGTACATTGAGGGGCTAATTGCCGGGCAACAAAAGGTGCGTGGGCCACGGTACTTTGGCTCTGCGTCCCGGAGAGAATGTGGGTGACGCTGAGACAGATGTGCTCTTCTCTCTCTCCGGTCTTTTGCCCTTGGTATCCCACTTCCTCTCTCCCACTTCCTCTCCATTATCTCCTCTCTTGAACTTCAGTTTCTTCTGTGAATTCTTCCCTTTTGTCTCTGATCACCAATCCTAAAAACAACAAAAGCTTCCCTTGACCCAATACTGTACTGCTGCTGGCATCCCACCTTCCTTTCCCTCCAGTGGCAAGTTTCTGGGAAGACACTTACGCTCCCAACCGACGAACCACACACTGCGTTTCTTCTCATCACTTCCATTCTGGCTTTCCCGTTACCATTCAACGGAAATTGTCTTATCAAAGCTTTTACAGCTAAAGAACTGTTACAGGATCCTTGGCCTGCAGGGACCCTCCACTGCCCCAGGTTCCAACTTCTCCGCAGGAAGAACAAGTTAAATTTAGAGCACAAAGACCTCCCCGTGCCTGGGCTGATGGTGAGGAGGCTGCTATTACAAGGGTGTGGAGATCAGAGGGAGGCAACCACTGGCTCTGTTTTTGTATCTAAATCCAAGCTAGCTGGGTCCAGGTTTTGTTGCCACTGGTAGGATAAATGTGTTTAGTTTTAGGACTAAAGAATGCCTTGCTGTGGAGGGCAGCCACGCTCCTGAAGTGACTGCTGTACAGGTAAGAAGGCCACGCAGGAGGCAGTAGTAACCTTCACCTACATTTGCTTTTTGCATTGGTTTCTCAGACCAAATCCTCTCTGACCTCCCAGTCACGCCACGTTGGCTATCCTTGCTGAAAACCCATTAGCTCTCAGAGTTTTGCATTCCCTTCACCTCTCTGATCTCCCCACCTCCATCTTTTCTTCCTTCGCTCACTCCCTAAGTGACAATCACCCCCGCAATGCTAGGCTCTTCTCTTCTTCCCCTACATCATCTTCTTCAGGGACCACACTTTCTTTAAACTGCATCCAAATAAAGGGTGTCCCAAAATTCACGCAAGAAGTAATTTTGATAGAAAACACAGGTTTATAATTAAACATTGTAAATTTTTTATCGATTCATAAAGTATACAGTATAGGGTTATGTATGGAATAGCACATCGGGTAAATGGCCTCCACGGCTTTGCTGGCACATACGCAAAGCCGTGGTCTTCACTGGTCTTCACTGCCCCAGCTCCTGGGCCATAATTGGTACTTGGTAATGCTTATGAAATTGAAGGGATTGAAATCACAGGGCAACAGATATTAGAATCTGATTCAATAAACCAAGTAAAATTAGGCTTTTATTTTTTGTTGTTGTTAATGCTCACGCAAAATTCAAATCTTGCGTGAATTTTGGGACACCCTTTACCATTCCCACGAGTCCCAACTTTTGCTTCCAGCTCAGACCTCTTTTCAGATTTCCAGCCCACAATCCAACTTCTTTTCACATAGGTGGTCTAAAACTGTGCATGCGTGCCCCCTAGGGGGTCACAAAGACTTTCTAAAAGCACAAGAGCAAAGACAATTTTAAAGGAATCAATTTCCAGGTCCTCCATTCTCCATTTTCACATGTAACTTTTGCTAAAAGACTGATCTGAGAATGCACCTGCAGTCCAGGCATCCTGCTGGTTTCTCCTGCCCCATTTTTTCCCTTTCACAATTGTCCTCCCACTTTCTAAAAACAAACAAACGAACCCTACTTTTTTTTTAAAAAATATATTTTATTGATTTTTTACAGAGAGGAAGGGAGAGAGATAGAGAGTTAGAAACATTGATGAGAGAGAAACATCGATCAGCCGCCTCCTGCACATCTCCTACTGGGGATGTGCCCGCAACCCAGGTACATGCCCTTGACCGGAATTGAACCTGGGACCTTTCAGTCCGCAGGCCGACGCTCTGGCCACTGAGCCAAACCGGTTTCGGCCGAACCCTACTTTTGACTCATTCTGAACTTTACTACCCTGCACTCTTCCAGATGCAAAAACTTCCAGGACATTAAAAAAAACAAGTCTAGTATGGGTATAGGTAAAACTTTCTTTAGTCAAAGAAACTGAAACCGCTGGTGAAGCTTCGTGTTTGTTAAGTGTTTTACATATTTCTGTTAAGGGCAGGGTCTGACATCAGGAATGAGGCATTTCAGTCTCTAGTGGAATGTTCTGGTTTCAGATACAGAGGAAGGTGGTGGGAGTGAAGATGATTTTTACTTTATGACCGTGCTTCTTCCTTCATCCCTGAAAACTGTCAGAGAATGCATTACTCTGAGTCAAAACCAGCCCTCTTATATCACTTGTACAAGACACCCAGAGCTTTCTTTTAGTGCTTGAAATGGCAGAAGCATGTGTAGCAAGCAGATTGTGGCGAAGAAGGGGGCAGATAAAAGTCTGATATATTCAAGGACTATTTTGATTGTTCTCAGTTCATTACTTACAGCCACTGCCACAGCAAAAGGAACTGCAATTATGATAAATTCTGGCATTAAAAAAAATTGCTCAGGCCTGGCCAGTATTGCTTAGTGGTTTGAGCATTATCCCATGCACCAGGAGGTCACTGGTTTGATTCCCGGCCAGGGCACACACCCAGGTTGCTGGCTCAATCCCCAGTGGGGGTTGTGTAGGCAGCCAATCAATGTACCTCTTTCATCAATGTTTCTCTCTCCCCCTCTCCCTTCCTCTCTCTCTAAAAATCAATAAAAACATATTTTAATAAAAAAGAATGCCCTCTTTGCCTTTTCCTACATTTTACACCACACTTTATTAGAACAATGTTTCATGCATTAAAGAAAGCTGAGCCTGGTCAGTATGGCTCAGTGGTTGAGTGTCAACCCAGGAACCAAGAGGTCGTTGGTTCGATTCCTGGTTAGGGCACATGCCAAGTTGAAGGCTTGATGCACAGTAGCAGGAGGCAGCCAATCAATGATTCTCTCTCATCATTGATGTTTCTATCTGTCTCTCTTCTCCCTTCCTCTCTATGAAATCAATAAAAACATATTTTAAAAAATCTGAGTCAAAAAAGAAAGACAGTAGCAATGCTGGTGGGAATGTAAAATGGGCAGGCACTTTGGAAAATAGCCTGGCGGTTCTCAAAAGGTAAAAAATAGAGTTAGCACAAAACCCAACAATTCCATTCCTCGGTCTATATCCAAGAGTCAGGAAAACACAGGGCCGCATAAGAACTTGTATGTGAATGCTCCTAACAGCATTACTCATAACAGCCAAAAAAGGTAAACAATCCCAGTGTTGACCAATGAATAAATAAAATGTGATATACCTATAACAACGGAATATTCTTCAGCAATAAACTTTGAAAACATTATGCTAAGTGAAAGAAGCCATATTGGATGATTCTCTTTAAATGAGACTAGAGGCCCAGCGCACGATCAGGGCCGATCTTCCCTGCTGCCTGCCACATCTGCCACCACATACCCCCGGTTCCCAGGCTGGGGGCAGACCCCATGGTGGTCAATGCACGTCATTGCCAAATGGTTGTTCCACCATCCGGTTGATTTGCATATTACACTTTTATATATATAGCGATCCAGAACAGGCAGATCTAAAGACAGAAGGTAGATTGGTGGTTGCCTCGGGCTGCTAGGGTGTGTGAGGGAAAGTGGGATTGACTACTAATGGATATGGGTGCTTTTGCAGGGTGAGGAAAACATTCTAAAATTGATGTGGTGCCCTAGCCGGTTTGGCTCCCAGGCTGGGGGTGGACCCCCTGGTGGTCAGTGTACGTCATTGCCACTGGTTGTTCTGCCATCCGGTTGATTTGCATATTACGCTTTTAAAGACAGGAGGCAGCCAATCAATGATCCTCTGTCATCATTGATGTTTCAAAGTGGGATTGACTACTAATGGATATGAGTGCTTTTGCAGGGTGAGGAAAACATTCTAAAATTGATTGTGGAGATGGCTGTACAACTCTACTAAAAACCACTGAATGATACACTTTAAATACGTGAACTGTATGGTATGTGCATTATATCTCAATAAAGCTGATATATTACAAACATTTGGCATAAAATCTGAAATTTTTATTTGTGGCATAATTGAGAAATGTTTACTAATTTAGTCAAACAGACTACTTTTACTAAAAATAAGAAAATGACATCATATTAGGACAGAAAGCTGTAGATCTCAAATCCAATTAAAACCAAAACAAGTATCTCTACAGCAAATAGACTGCTAAAATCCAGCAGATGGGCCGCTAACTAAAAGCAGCATTCCCACAATTTGTTAAAATGAAAAAGATAAGTCTCTCTGATTTTATTACATAGAACAAATCTGA